GCTAACATTCGAATGAAGCGATAAAGCTTGTGGATTTCTTTATGGATACAATAATAAAGAAATAAACGTCTATCACTTATAAGTCCCCTAGATGTGTGCTATGCATTCGACTCAATTCATAGCGCCGCAGAGACAACTGAACACAAAAGCATCCTATACAACAACTTGTGGAGGCTTATGGAGGATTATATCAGTATTCTTGTCCCACCCTATAACTCTAGTACCAATTTGCTCATTCATAACGGATGGAGTGCTTGGTTAACTTGGAGAGTAGAATCAAACCAAAGACTAAGTGTATGTTCTATGACACCTCTAACCATTACTTTACAGGAGTTCTATTAAAAATTGGGAGACAATAAATTTAAAGTGTCCTGCTATCTCTCTAGTGTCTATGTCTTTTCGACATTGCAAACCTGAACCACTTGGAAAGCAGTGCCATTCTTATACAATCACAGTTTTTATACGTTTACAATTCATCGTTCAACATGTTGACATCCAGGTGCACTTACAGCAGACTATGCACTATACAAGTTTTTTAGTGACTTTTCCATATTTAGCAAACACTTAAATTCATATGCCTGGTGATTAATGTAAAGTTCATCCTCACTCAACGAGTGGAATAGCCGTTTTGTCCTAATCCGAGCCACTGCAGCCAGTCAGCCAACCAGCCAGACACCCACCGCCCATGTAATATCAACCTAGAGAAAGTACGAACCATTACAACTACGAAATTTAACGACTGCGCGAGTTTGGTAAACAATTAACGTTAAAACAGTGATCAATTCCATGACGGTGATATAATGCGACTAGAGAACTGTCCCTTTTCCTAAGTGAACAACTCTCGTATTGATCGTATCATATAGTCCTGTCCTGTAAGGACCAATGTGACAGCAGGCGATCAAGGATAAATCCCACATCCCATAAAACCGATTTCAGCTGGAATTCATGATCTATGTTTAAGTTGATCAAAGAACATGACAGCGAATGACATATCTTCATGCATTTATTCAAATATCTGTTGTATTATGCACGAAATTATTCTATCTATTGTACGATGTTATGACCCCAAAGAGGACAAACCGACTACCATTTCATGAATCATATCAATAAATACAAAACTATGACACGAGAATACTCCAACGCAGCGATTACTCGTTCACCAAGTCAAATGAGTAGTCACAGAAATCGTTGCCAATGTGGAAGAATCCTAAACGTATTCCTCCTCGGATTAATGGCGGACCAGCAAGTGACTGGTCGAAGGTGAAGAACTAAGAATGCACTAGCACGGTTATCTTGATATTCCAGAAAAAATCAAGCTCCACGAGCACTCAATTTGTCATTCAGGAGGGAAGATGACAGATCCTCTAGGCAGCGGTGGCTCAACCAATCCACGAATCTGACCGATTTCATGGATGTAGATTACAAAGGAGAGAAGTCAATTAGAAGAATTCGTGGCACTACAGCATTTGAGTAGGTATCTACTCAATCAACACAAAAGAGTTAGTCTCTCCGTATCTTTTTTGTCTCTTTCTTCTCGCTCTACTCTCTCTCTCTCTCTCTCTCTCTCTCTCTACTCTACTCAGTGTATCTATGAAAGTATTTTAGACGTGTTCTAGTTAACAAATAAATCTATGGGTTGGCTTTTCATAAAGAAAACGGTGAGCGAATACCCTTGCTGTTGTGGAAGAAAGGTCGACAAAGAACTTTTAGATTTCAAAGTCGTAAGTGCAAGCATTAGGCGCGTGTGGTGTAGTGGTCGTAGGCGCACTGCAGTACACATAAGGTCGATCCCCGCGCCAGTCGCTCACCAAGCCTTCCATCACTCCGGGGTTGGTAAATTGGTACCAGACTTGGCTGGGATGATAGCGGCACTGGCTCGATACATCAGTAGGCCACCGCAAGTCATTGTAAAGGCCAGATATGCATCCAGTCACCCCCAGCGATACTTAATTAAATTGAATGCATGGCACATTCACCGGGATTGATCAAAGTCGAGACCTTCATCCTTTATCCTTTAAGTGCAAGCATTGATAGACATATCCTTTTGTTTTTAAATAAAGTGAATTTCCATCGTTTTACTAAACATACACTAAATCTGTATTTATTTAAATTTCGATCGAATGAATATCAAATATACACAGGAACAAGATTTTAGTAAACATCAACGTTGATGATGTTTAATAGAATCCACAGTGGATTCTTTGTCTGTTTTACTTCACGGAGTGGCAGTGCATCTCCTGCCACGTGCTGCCAGAAGCGCCGTGGTCATCTGTAGGCCTACAGGACTGGTTCATTCATTTGAACCAGATGCCGTACAATTTCAATGCTGGTAGTTGAGTACACCATTCGGTGATCTAGTCTTTGGTATCGCTTCATTAATGTACAAAACATTTGACGTAACGAAAGTGAAAAGGGATTGCAAGGCAACTTCAACGTCAACACCATAAATATGTGCAGTTTCGAAACCAGTATAGACTATGACCGAATCGCTTAGTTCGACGTCAATAACAGCAATGGAAAACACTGAAAACAAAGATGAGGCAATGGATGGTTACACCAAATTATTGCTTAACACCTAAGGAGCGAGACGAGTAAGCTTCCATTCACAACGGGTTCACCGCAAAAATTAGGTGTCAAATAGAAGCTTTATGCTAACAGATTTAGGCAACGTTTCCTAAAAGTCAAGAACGGTGATCCTCTTGAACTCTCACAGGCATTCATAATCCACTTATTGTACTTCGCTCCTTTCCAGCTCACTGTTCATCAATCCTTAGGCTATACGCAATGCATTTGACTTTATTCATAGTGATTTTACGCATATCTAACTGTACAATGACTAGCCTTGGCCTACTGGTACACCATAACAGTGTTTTTTTCCTGCGAGACAGATCACGTAGTGCTGACCAACTAAAGGATGGAGGGCCTAATTTTCCCTGAAGGCGGTGTCGAACCAAAGATAATCTACGAATTTGCAGAGCACTTCTAACACTGTACTGTAGGAAGCTATCAACGTTTCACTGTTTTGGTTTACTTAATGACTATTGCCTTGATGAGTCTTACATCCAGCATAACTCGTCTTTCTAGTTCTGATTTTCTTTCTTTCTACATGCAATCCAATTTTCAAATCAATGTAACAGAATTATTTTCTTTGTCACTAGCAACGTTTCTTCCAAACCGTAATATACTACGTTTTATAGCTCTCACAGCTCGAGAAGCTCTCAAGTTCGTTTCAGCTACACTTCTGCACTCTTGGCAATTTGAATTCAATCCCATCCACAGTGGGAAGGTTACAGCATAATCTCGACTCTGTTCTTCATTTTTCGCACTCATTATACTTGAAGAAAATTCTCCAGAAGTAATTGAAGACTGTGATGTTACTAGAATCTGGATGACCTAAAGAGAAATTTCTTTCACATTTTCCCCATAGGAACAATTATGCTAATGCAGACGAGTCACGTATGATGTTGTAATGAGGATCAGCCCGTTAGCTCTTAGCTAAGTGATCATACTGCGTAGTTCAGAAAAACAGTTACTAGAATAGTGTTTGGCCTTAGCACTACAGATCTTTCCAGACAATTGAATTGATCTCTCCACACACGTCAGAAGTCACAGTCAAGCCAATTCTTCTTTTGTTGTTACAGCTTAATTTTTTCCCTTTTAAAATATTCATCTGTAAATGGCGTATAATATAGAATGAAAACTACTCTAAAACCATAAAGGTATGGAACGAACTTGTTTTTCTACTTATTCTTTCATTTGTTCCATGTAGCACAGTGATTAGAGATGCTGTATAGTGGACGAGGTCGTTGGATCGCTCCCCTTACGCTTGAACCAATCAACCATTTCATTCCTCCGTGGTCGAAAAATTGATAGTAGACTTGCCTTGAGAGAATAAAAACACTAGCTTGGTAGATCAGCAGACCTTCGGAAATCATTTTAAGGGTCAAACGCGCGTTCAGTCACCTCTACACTTTTACGAATGGAGCCGAATGGCTGATACACAGCTTAAGGGATGATCAACGTCGAACGCGTTATCGTTTTCTTCTTTCGTTTGCTAATCACACGACTACCATAGTTGTGATGCTTCAGAACTACGTGACTACAGCTTTTCGCTTCGCTGCGGTGCGTAGAGATAGACGACCTTGCAAATCGTTTTCATAGCTTAAAGCATTAAAGTGCACTTCGGTTTTAATCCAGGGAACATTCAGCTTCTGATACGAAACATATGCACACACTCAGCGACATACACACATAAAACACATGCAAACACACACCTTTCGGTCGTTCACATCCACAAGAAGTGATGTAAGCGTAAAGTGCAGAAGAAGAATTTCGCATTCAGCTCTTGTCGTTTTTACGCTATTGCACTCTGCCTACTTGCTTCGTTAGTAGTCGTTTGGCTAGTTCTTCATCTCGTCATTCGAAAAGTGAAGAATGAACGACAACGACACACATCCTAGCGAGCACATTCTTTAAGTGTGTCATTGCTGAGAAAAACACAAGGGCACACGTGATGTACTTTCGATGAATAAGCAAGCAAGCAACTTTTCACATACATACTGCTAAAATATCCACCACATTCGACATTCTACTGAAGAACATGCGCTATTCTTGGCTTCAAAGGATAAAGGATAAAGCATTCGGGGCTGATCAATCCCTGATAGATGTTCTACCCATTCGACTTCCTCAAGCATCGTTAGAGCTGACCGAACGCATATGTAGCCTATACAATGACTTGCATTAGCTTACCGATGTTTCAAGTCAGTGTCGCTATTCTCTCATTCTGGCACCAATTTCCTCACCCGGAAAGGACGATGGGCTTGGTTGACCAAGGGCGCAGGACAGAACGAACGGTCACGTTTGCATTGTAGAGCACCTCTAACCACTGCGCTACTGGTGCCCTATTCTCGGCCTCATTACCCGCGAAACTTCACGGCAACCACATTGACATCTTCATCATGAGCACTTTACTAATATCTTTCCATCAAATTAGTCAGTGTATGAAGTGGAACATGGCTCTGAAAGGATTTACAACTGAAGTCTGTTTAACATCAATGGTGGTGGAGATGAAATGGGATTATCTAATCAAAAGCTACTCATTGAAATCTAGTTATGTGTTACCAATACAATTTGGACGAGTTCTCTCTCCACGAACTGAAACAATAGAACTGTTGTTTTTCACTCTACGAGCAGTTGTGTTCTAAATCACCTACAACTCTGAGATACGAATTTGTTGTCGTGACTATTTTCATCGCAATGGATTTAATATCAGTGGATTAACCGTCAAACGATTATTAAAAGTGTAAAGTAGTTCTACCCTTTAGTGGTTGTTTTTATAAAAACACTACGTGAAATCAACAGAAGAAAAACAACACGCACAAACCAATTGAAGTCGGAAAAGTGCAGTTCGTCAAGGCATACGGTGGATGTCCTGAAAATTGTGGATGCTTCGAAGGTAACGGTGACGGTGACGGTGATCGTGATCGTGACGGGATCGGTCACGATGACGATGACGACGATAGGGTATGTGGTTTTCCTTCGTTTTTCTTCTTTTTCTTTCTTTTTTCGAATCGAAAGGTCACTGTAGCGTTGTTAGCAATGGTTGTGCCTAAAAGTACATTATGAGGACATCACGTTATACTGCTTCGAACCTATTTGGCTACATACGAGCATGTCCTACGACGCCGTTATCGAGCTGTTTTACAGCAGTACTGCTTCAACGACATGTTTATAATGGTTGCTACTACATGGTAATGCCAGATGTTCTTCCAGATATCGCACTTTAGCCGAAAAACGTTGAGATCCCCAAAGTTATGAGGTTCTGTGCTGACTTGTTGACTTGTATACTTTTGTGAAATTTGTACCGAAGTTTCAGCTTAAGGGACGTTTGTCCAGTTGTTCGAAGCTCATGATTTTTGCCTTCTTAGCCCACCGAACGTCACCCTGAATGATTCAGTGTAGCGGCCCTACAGCTGGAATGATTAGTTGTGGAATTTGTATAAAAATTGTTACCTTATATCCATTGGTTTAACATAAGGTCAACTAATTTATAACATCGTAAAGTTTGTGTTGAACAGGAGAAAAGCAGACTTAAGAGATACCGAGGACTTTAAACTGATTTAGAAACAAAAACTCAACTTGAATTCGAATCTGTCGTGAATGGCAAAAGTTTCACTATCTATGATCGTAGGTATAAAAATATGAGTCATACGAATTTATATCCGCTCATGACCGTAGATCATTGCTCGGAATTTTGTAATCGATATCGGCACAATTGTTCGCGTACCATAATGAAAACCGTTTAGCGGAGTTTCGTAATCGATATTACGAAACTGGTTGCTTACCAACTCTTTTCTACCGATTTCGACCAGTCTAGCGACATTTCGCGATCGATATTGACGAAATTAGGCACCTAGTCAACACTGTTCGGCATCGATTTCTCAGCAGTTAGTTGAATTTCGCGATCGATATTGACAGAGTTACCCGACCTATATACCGACTCATGGCTATTGATTTTCAACTGTTAGTTGGAGTTTCGTAAGCTATAATTGCGAAATTGGCATCAGAAACTAGCACAGGATTGAATGTAAAGAGGTGGTTACGTAGTTTAGTGACCCTATCTCCCTTTCGGACGATAGGAAACAGCTGAACGAATCAGTCGGCTCGTCAGACAACTGAACGAGTAGACAATCAACGATAAATCATTCGATAATAATCGACACTATACGACCACGATCCTTGTCCGAGGAAAGTATTAAGCAAGTGATTCATCGTTTCTGCACTTGCACATAAAAAAGGTCTTGAATCGTTTTGTGTCCCGTTTCCATAGATAGCTTGAGAGCCGTACAGTTATGTAGATGATTCACCGTAACTCTTGACCAGTAGTCGTTCTTTTTAGCTTCATGTCTGTCTCTCCTTGGCATGTCACCAATCACATCCGGCTGGATAACCAGCTGGAAGAGATGACATCGCTATTGATTTTGTTCTTGTGGTGTTTTTCGAGAGATCTGCTTACAAATCTCTACTACCTCCTCTTTTTTCAATTCTGCAATCTTTATTACCACCACTGCTGTTACGCTGTATCGTTTTTATCCGGGCCTTTCTTAGTCGATTGCATGTCATGGCGGCAGTTTCTGTTCACGATGACCTGACAGATCCATCACCGTGTTCTTCAGTGTTCATCAGTTTCATTTGCAGTTCTTTCGATTTCATCTGAATTCGCCTTCATGCAGGAATACGGTGGTTCCACTGGCGACCTCCATCGATGTGAATTATTTATCTAATTGATGAAGTTTCTGTACAATTGTTTACTTGGGCCTATTTACATGATTGATTTCAGTTTAGCTAGGCTTAGTCCTCAATTCGGAAGCTGCTTTACAACTCACATCATGCTATAGGATGGTATGGTCAACGCACTTTGTATTACGGTAAGTGTTTACGAGAATGCACTTTGCACGTGCTACCAGACACACACTATCTCTTGGCCCTGTTTTGCAGGACGAGCACTTTCGGTCAGATCTAACAACTCGTCCATGTCTGGTGGGCGTGGCCTCGATCCCGCCCACCGTAATGTACCGATCACCCACCTCCCCAGTGTTCGAAGCTTCACCACTAAGACACGTCGTTTCGATCCTCTAACGGCGTTCACAAATGTACTTACGATAATATAAGCGATATGGAAGTCAATGATCATTCTAATTACGTATTGAAGTTCTTCCTTCTAGAACGGCTTTTCCGCTCCGAATTCCTACTTACTTTCCATGGTCTTGTAAGACCTACTTGATTACCTTTTTGCAAGGTAGATTTCACTCATTTGATCGTCAGATCTCGCCCAATGTGCATAGTTGTAACAGTAATCCGACCTTTTTTCTAGGAAAAAAATCGAGGAAACAATTTGTCGCTTTAGGAAAGTTTTCAGAAATTTGTAGAATATGGTACAGAAGATAGAGGTACTTGAATGGGGTCTGAATTCCCCTGAATATCCGGCATGCTCAAAACGCAGACGTTGGATCGCCTACGATTCCCGTGTGATGTCACGAATGATCATGATAAGACACTCGTCAGGCTTCTTCACCGTATCGACTGTTCTCCCTCATTCTAAAAGGGTCAGGTATGTTTGTTGTGTTTTCATGGGTGTTGTATCTTCATTCCATGTTTGTGTGATTGTTTTGTTTGTGTTTTTTCTTTTCCAGGGCAGAAATATTGTTTCACTGCAGAGATCGTTGAGCGTTTTTCATCGGGCGACGATGATAGAGAACGTTCGAAGGGCATGTTTACGCTCAGTGCTGTCGCGTTGCCGTCGTAGTTCACGCCTCCATTCAGAAAGTCCTACGCTTGTCGATCATTGTCGTCAGTGTAGCTCTTGTTCGTATTTGTCGCGATCACATTCTTTCCTATCTGGATTTTCTATGCTCCTAATGACTAACACAATTCGAATTCGAGGACTAAGGAAAACAATGTCGATCCTGAAAATTCGAGGACTATCTGAAATGTGGGCTCATTTTCATTCATTCTCAAGTTTCAGCTTCGAACTTTTGGTTAGTTCTACTCGATGAAAATGGTTATGGCAGTACAGACCTGTTATCCCATGGGCTATGGGGAAACTGTCTATGGTCTTGTGGAAAGCATAGACGGTTATGTTTATATCAAGACTATTCTGACTGTTTATGCCGCATAAGACGTTTTTGCTTCCTGTGTCGCCCTTGAAATCGACTTGGGCTCTTTCATAATTTCCTCATATGCACTTTTGTATGAAAGCAACGAACGAATATTTCGAAACGTACTTTCATTGTTTTTCTACAGATATGCCCGTTTAAGCCCGCATCCCTCACAGTGCACTCCATTCGTGTCTGCATTAAATTTTTTATCTCCCCATACACGGCATAGTGCAAAGGCCGAAGTGCATATGTACTCATGACGATCATGTTGTTTCCTCATACATTTTTAAATTGGACGGTTTCTTTTCTACACAAAAAGACGACAAACTGCTTAAACAGGCGGCGGCGATTGATTTCAATTGGTTCCTGTGATGAGCGTAGTGTTTATGGTCGAAGAACATTTCGTTGCCGTAGCAGTTCTGAGAGTGCGTCGCTCTCAATCGCCACGCTTTTCCAATCGATTACAAAGATCTTACAATGTTCCTGTTCTTCTGGCGGCTTCTTTTATCCATGCTATCATTGTAAAGTACTTCGTCTAGGTTCCTTCCTAGTTCATCTCTTGTACATTTGTGGGTGAGTATGTGTATGTGTATGTGTGTGTACGTGTATGTGTATGTGTATTTGTATGTGTACATGTGTATGTGTATGTGTATGTTTATGTGTGTATATGTGCACGTGTATGTATATATGTATGTGTATGTGTATGCGTGTGTGTATATGTGTACGTATATGTGCATGTTAACGTGTGTGGACACAGCATCAAATAGTGCTCAGTATCTATGCGCTTATCACGACTCCATGTCTTTTCACTAGTGTTAGTACAGAAATCATTCCTTTGATACCTATTAGTCGATGTACTACCATTTATATGTCGACTACTATAAAGTTCATAAATCCTATAGCGTTCTGAACGAGGCAGTGGTTAGGGGACGTTCAACGAGGCGCTGACGTTTTCCTGTGAGGATCAGAAAGAGCGGAAACACTTGATTTTGGGTGTCTTTTATCGTTTTGTGTTGTTGGTAGTTATTTGCAGTGTTGTGTGAGTGTATGTGTCTTGCATTTCAGCCGTCTGCGTTAGCGCTGTCCTAAAAGGTCACTGTTCTGCGCACTTTCCGCTATGTCGGCGGCATTCAGCTAGCTATACAGCCGCCGTCGACACGCCCCTATCCCAACCGAAGACAGCAGGAGCAGTAGCAGCAGCAACAGCGTCGGCGGTGGCGGCAGACGACAGCGGACGACGGCTGTGGTTGAGGCGGATGACGGCGATCGTTGCGGCGCACGACGGCGCTTGTAACGGACGTCGGCGGTTGTGGCGGCGGAGAACGGCTGATGACTGCAATGATGGCGGCGGGCGACGGACGCACGCAGGCATCCGTGCGTTCTTCGTCCGTCGTTATGCCGACGGTGCCAATATCCAGTATACGGGCCAACATTCATCGCTTTCCTCTTCCTTGTTTCTTCTCCTCCACCCTTCTCATTCGTCCTTATTCTCGCAGTTCCTCTATCTCTCCCTCTGTCAAACACTCGCTCTATTTAGTCATCTTCTTCCCAGTCATTAATCATCTTGAACGAAGATAACTTCCAACCGCGCTAAACTCATCTTTCAGTGGTTTACTGTCCTTTTTGTTATGATGCTTTCACTACCATGTTCACATATAGATTAATTTTCTGACGTAATTTTCTATATTCTCGGTGTCTTTTCCTTTCTACTTCAAAATTAGGTAATGTTTTTATCGGAGGTTATATTTCGCCTTTAACTGCAGAGAACGCGGACGTGAAACGGACGTTACAGCAGTGTTAATGTGTTCCCAAATGGCTTTTGTGACGTTTTCTCCGAATGTATTTGAATTCTTCGTTGCTGCGAGTTCATTATCCAGACAACGTGAAAAGTTGTGCGAAATATCCTTTCGTTCTTCATTCGTTTATTATGTCATTATCTTCCTCTCGAACATTTTATCATTCATCCTTCAGCTTGTTCATGACCTTCGTTTTCAGATGAATGGTGACGATCAAAGTGTTCCCACTACCACACCTACATTAGACCTCCAAGCGCTCCTAGCCACCATGCCTGATTTCTCCATGCTTCCATCGCTCTCGAATATGGTAATTCGTAATGTTCTCATATTAAATAAAGCGATTAAAATAACATTTCTTTGTCTAAACAATGACGAATTTATTAGTGCTGATCCCATCTGGAACTTTTAGCCCAAGGACTCCACAGCCACCACTGATATTCCGACATCGCAGCCGATTCTCTTCCCGCCAATTCCGAATGATCAGCTGGCAGCTCTCTCGTTGGGCTTGTTTCCGTTACCAGGATTTCCGATGTTTCCGTTATTACCGATGACTCCACTCAGCTCCACTGTACCACCTCATTCTACTATTGAGAGTCTTGGACTCATGACAAGCAGTGTTAGTGGATCAATTCCTGTTTCATCTTCTCTTCTTGTTCACCAGATTATCAGCTATATCACGGTATTCCAGAATCTTCGTCAGAGAGCTTATACGATGGCACCACCAAGCGTAGATTCTCGTCCACGAGCGTTTTCTAGCGCTGCTGCACTCCAACGTCCAAAGGTATGATATTTTGAGTGATTATGAAAGTGCACCATCGTTGGATTGAGTGAGTCGTTTCTGGCCATGCGACTTCCCACCAACAATAACAGAAAGTACACTGACAGTATGGTGGTGATGGAGACTGTAGAGAAGTAGTGAGGACGGAAAATGATTTGGAATTCCTGGGATTGTACTGGCGAAGGGGACTGTTGTAAAAGAAAAGTGGTGGAAAGGTTAAATGATGAACTTAGACTTTCGGAAATCCTAAAATGGAAGAGTGTGTGAAAAAAATGAAGGAAAAATTGCAGTCTCGATTCCGTATTTAAAAGATGAATGACCAACTGTCTTGCTTAATGGAACTAGCTTTCTATAACAAAATTGCCTGTCCTAGACCGAAACTCGTATTAAAGACAAATCTACAGCAATTATTGGAGTAGGTTCCAATGAATTAAGTATCTTAAGTATCTGGAGGTATCTTTTTTACTCTCAAGATTAACTTCCAGCAAGCTGCCACTCCTGAGCGAAGACGTAAACGATCGCGTAAGGCTCAAGGAGAGGTGCACGAGTCTAGTGTACTTCGAATGCTTGTTGACGAGGAGGACGATACTCCAATAAAAATTCACCAACCCGCCACCAGAGATCTGGATGAAAAACTTCGAATGGACGCTGCCAAAGGTGGAGAATTTTCCGTGTTTGCAGTGTCATATCTTCAAAGTTTCGTTGGGTGCAAAAATAATCGAGATACTCCGTTTGTACTGATAGCTATCCATTCTGAAGTGTGGAAGCGAAAACATATAAAAGGTATCGAGTGTACTGATACTTGTGGAGAATTTTCCGATTTCAAAATAACAACCAAGGAGACTTTTTAATATGGCAGGGCACCCTAGTATGTGGTTGTAAAGTGTTAATCTGCACTTAATTTGATTATATTTCCTCTTAGCTTCAGTACTGAATGAGAGCAATCCGCCATTGGCGAAGAGGACCTCACCTGAACGTGCTGCCAATCCGGCTGAAGGGCAATCACCGTCCAGATTCGCCCTCCGTCGAATTATTCGTGACGAGGACCTGCCAGATTCGATCGGACCCGACTCTCCGTTTCGTCATCATCCAAAATACCAAGTTCGTTATGTTCATTGGTTTTGCAGTTGGTTAAGTAACTGGTATTACAATGGTAGATGAAGTAGGGCTTTCTAGTGTAGAAATCGCTTTCACTTAAGACGTGACGAAGTCGGTATAAAGGAGAGGGTTTTGTGATTGTAGAAAATTGTCTGCATAGATATTAAAAAAAGGCGATGTGTAACTTTCGAAATGCTGCTGCAATTACATTACACTTACATTTAGGTCAGCGCTAACAGGACACGAATAGCATGCTGTTTTCGTTAGCGTTGTCAACGCAATGCTGTTTGTTCGCTTTGGTGGTGTTGTACTTCTTCAGAGAGCCGTCACGAAGTCAGAGAATAGCGTAGCGATCAGTGATATTTGACGTGATGATCAATAGGCAAAACATCCTATTCATCATCTTGATCAATCGTATGGAAATCTGGAAAAAACTACTGTATGAGCATTATCCATTGGTGCAGCGTATAAGGATAACAAGGTATAAAGCTCTCGGCGTTGATCAATCTCTTTAATGATGCTCCATGCGTTCGACTTCACTAATCATTGTCTGAAGGTGATTGAATGCATATCTGTGCATTACAATAACTCGTAGGGGCCTACCGATGTATCAGGCCAGTGTATCAGTGCTATCCTCCTAAATAAGTTTGGTACCAATTTGCCGACCCCGGAGGGATGGAGGGCTTGGTGGACCATGGGAGCAGGGATCGATTGTGTGGGATTATGTGGTGCAGGGCGCCTGCGACCACTGCGCCACAAGCGCTCCTAGTGCAGCGCATATGTGCAAATATGCTGATGATGCTGATGATTGCGAAATACGAAGCGTCGATGTCTTCCATTCCAGCTTTTTTGTGCCTATTTAATGGTATTTGCACGTGCACTGAATGCTTTGTTGTCTTCGATTTCATAACGTCGACATGAACGTACTGTTTGAGTCGGTTCTAAATATAGTATGCATTTCAAATAATATCCTACCATGAAAAAACAGCAGCTAGTGAAAAGAAAGTTATAGGTTTTGATTTGGACTACAGCGTCAGCTTAACATGATTCAATACCGATTGCTCACTGGATCATTCTTGTTAACGGGTGGTGCTGATAGCACAATTGGGGAAGAGAATTGACTGAGAGAAAGGCAAAGCAAGGGCGTCAGTGGTGCAGTGGGTAACACGTGAGCCGCCCGAAAGGGAAATCATGGTCTCGGATCTGGCCTGAGGTCTGGGTTTCGCAAGTTTTTCAGCATAATTATGGTTGAATTTTATATAATACCCCACTGTGAAAAAACAATGGGCAGTAGATGAAAAGTTATACGTTCTAAATATAATGTTAAATATGAAAAGCCAGCTAATAGTTGTTACTGCTGAACGGATTTGGGATAAATTTTATCACGTGCCACGTTTTTAGGCTAAACAGGCGTTATCACGTATTACTTCTAAATATGTGATATAAACAGACGATGTGAATGTGTACGCCGATTTCTAGTAATCGATTTTGTAGATGTTTTCCCAGCGTATAGGAGTAGTAGGTAAATTTGATGAATTTTAGTGTGTTTCAGCGCAAACAGCACGACTCGGAACTAGAAGTGATCGACGGTATGGAGGCGCTGACAGCGTTCTGTGTCGTAAGTGGCTACGTTCCAGAATCCAGCGAACCGGGAGCATCACCAAAAAGGGATTCCACTAGTTACACAGGCACAGTGTCACCAAAGAAATCCTTCAACGAGATGATGGAGCATGCAATATGCCGTGAACTTGTCACCGCAGAGTAGGTTAAGGTGTCATGTACCGGCGTTCTCATAGAGTTAGTCGCTGGATAAGTGTAGAAACAACTCTCCGCCATGAACGTGTCGTTCGTTATCAGTGCCCGTGAGTGCCACCAGCTATACTGGGTTGATAACACCCATAAGAAAAGGTGATTTCACTACTCTGCAATGAGTGCTTACGATATAGGATATCTTACTTTCCACAAATTACTTAGTAACCTTGACTCTTAAAAACCATGTGTTCGCCGTTAATGGCGTGTAAGAGCGATCATATCCAAAATATTTATTATTCTGGTTTTATTTATCATGTGTGTTGTTACTAGAAGCATACATATGGTGACGTCATTGTAATACATTCCTTAATAATCCCAAGCAGAGATATTCTTCGCTAGTGTTCCTCATCTCTTCCCTTCCTTACTCAAAACACCAGCGTCAGTTGGTAACCGTTCAGGAACTATCTTTTGTCTTTTTTTCCTCTCCCACTCCACTCTCAAACTGCACGTAGGCATACGCACTCAAACATAATTCCACTGAAGCGTGTAAAGTGACCGCTTTAATTTTCGATGTATTTTGTTTTCTATCCCCGATGATGCTTGTTCCTCTTTTTTACTTATTTCATTATCTTCATTTGTTCGACGTTACCGCCCGTAGTTCTTTTGCGGCGCTCATCACTGCCATTGTCGAAAATCGGAGTATATTATAAACAGTGTGTATAATTGATATTTTTGTGACAAACAGTTTGTCAACACTGACGTCGTAGCCGTTCAGATTTATTCAGCGAGGGGGAAAATTAGCTATGGTATGATTGTTGAGTAGTGTTGCTTGATGGCCAGTAGCCGTGTGGACCCTTGGAGTTTTCTGAGTGAATACCATCTAGTTGAAGCACAAGCACTTCATACGTAGTTGTTCATCGAGCGGTAAAAAGCTGTGAAGAATGACGCCTTTGCTATGCTTTACGAGAAAATGTACGCATGCCATTGGTCAGAGAAATCTTTAGCGTTCTCTTCTACTGAGCTGGAACGCACTACAACATTCCACCAACCATAGCAGAGCGGTGCAGACCATCAGCCGACTCGCCTCTGTACACTCGCCGTCGTCGTCGTCATGGTCGGTTTTTTGCATGAAAACACGAACAGCTTCGAAATAATTTTCGTGCCGAACTGCACTTTAAATGCGCAAACGGCGTTCTTGTAAAAGAAACCTAATTCAGACGCTCATACAGCGAAACGGGTTTCCATCACAACGATATGCCGCAACAGAAAAAAGACATGAAGAGTGAAAAATGTTGACGATGGGTGCCGCATGAATGCAGTTATTGGACGACGCTGTTCGATGGTGACAGGACTGAAATTCTGCTTATGTATCGTTCAATGTCATCTACCGATCTGGTGAGAGAACAAGAACACGAAGAAAGTATTTTCTTGCCTTAAGGAAACGGTCTGCATGCACCTAGAAACGGATGACTAGTGAAAAACCTACCGGCGTTGCTCAACTCCTTGGGGATGTGCTATGCATTCGACTTCATCAAACATCGTAAATATCTAGCCTATCAATGACTAGTGGTGACCTATCGATATATCTAATCAGTGTTGCTAAACCCCCTCTCCCTCCAGACAAAAAGTATAGTAGCAATTTGCTGACCCCGAAGAGATGGAAGATCTCTTCAGCCCGTTCGTGGGATCGGGCCAAAGGCTATGTGTGTATTGTAGACACCTCTAATTACTTCCCTACACGTGGAACAAGGGATATTTTGAAGAGAGAACAAAGTTAACCGTAGTTGTTAAATAAGAGCGATGAGTTGTTGTGCGTAGTACGATTGTGTGCAGTGGCTGGCTACTAAATCCCGCTACGTCTCAAGGTAACATCTGGCTAGTGACAACATACTATCGGGTAACTGAGGTCATTTTTTGTACTTTCTGCTCACACAACATCATAACTGCAGAATACCCTTTCATCGATCGAAAGCTATGAGTGGCATTTGTCATGTAACAGTTTTTCGACTGACGTAATTATAGAAATTGAAAACATACGAAATATGGTAGTTGTAGCACCACGTTTCGATAGAGTAAGAAAATAGAGTAGGCTGTTAGTTCGATGAAAAAGAAGAAAAAGCCGGTAGTAGTAGTTACATGACACTCAGGATAAGGTTATGTACTCCACAGCATTAATGTGCCATTAGAAGAAGGTTTTGCTTAACAAGTGATGGTGAAGTTTTTCATACGGTACTTCTCAACGTCCTCAATTCAATGGTAGAAATTATACAGCGCTATAATTACCGGCTCATTTATTGCTCGTTGTATTCAGAATGATCGTACTTGTCCAGAACTTATCGTTCATTGATGTTCGATGTCAAGATAGGTTTTCCTTTCGTACGAGTCGTGGATGGATTCTGAAGAATGTAACGAGGAGATGGCAACGTCTACGTCTACAGCTCTTTTTTCTCAGAGATATTGGATTGTACTTGAATGCATGCACTTACTCGGGCAAAATTGCAGCAAAGATTACATCAGGAAGTTTTTCAGGGAGCTAAACTTTGCAAACTCGTTCTTTTTACGGCCATTGTGGGGTATTCCTACTTTTCTACACTCTACTTTTCACTTCATGTGTCCGATTTTCAGCAAGAACGATGGAATCCTGTATTTGAACAGTGGTAACTTTTCCATGCACCAAGAATTATGTAATGTCAGAGCGTCGGTAGGCTAAGGCAAACTTGAAACTTACAGTAACCTGCCATTAAAAAAGAATAGGCAGTAAATGAAAGATAAGAAATTAAGACAAACCTATTTTCGCAGTTTTTATGAAAGCAACGACAATATTGAACGATGGTAACCGTAAGATTCATATCGTGCTCGGATTTTACGAGAAGCACAACGTTATCGGCGCTCTCGATCCAAACAATTTATGAATGTCGAGTCAGAAAGAAAAAACCTCTAATGCTCATGCTGAAAATCGATCCAGAATGCGATAGACCTGGTGTCGGCGTTAATTTTTGAGGCCTATTTTAGTCAGTTGTACTCCTGTAGTGTTGACGCTACAGCTATCCACAATAACTTCGAGCACTGTATCTAGTGCTAGGACGATATGAAGGCGTACCACTTCATAACTAATCAGTACACCCTTCTTGTATTTTATTTCTTAAACAGCGTTGTGCTGAGTCAGTTCTGGGTATTAGAATAATAATGGTGAATAAATTGATTTTAAAAGTGGTGTCGTCACCACCACAAGCATATCGCCTTATTCAAGGCAAAAATTGGAACCCTCGGAAATACATCACATTACAAGGTACTTTTTGCTGTATTTGAAATACTAGTTTTAGCAAATACTCACAGTAGTTTTTTCTCACAACGCTGCGATGATTTCTAGTTACTGAATAAGATTTCTGTTAACAGATTTCTTCAGTGAGTGGAGTGAACTCTTCCTGAGACATGACTTCAGTGATAATTCCTCGTAGAGAGTCGGAGAAACGTTTTCGGTCTCTGCTTGGCTTGCCAGCGACCATTGCTGTCATTGGGAACAATGTCGGCATAGAGTGCCCATCGACTATGACAAATAACGTTACGACCCATACTTACATCACATTGAAAACATGGGTAGTGCTGCGGCCAGATGGTGCCCTCCAACACGAACAAGGTTGCATTTTTGAGGTCTGTTTTAGTCAGTTGTACTCCTGTAGTGTTGACGCTACAGCTATCCACAATAAATAATATTGAAATATTATAAACAAGGTTATTGGTTTGATCCTATGCCCCCACTTTACGAAGCTATCCGTTTCTCTGGTATCGGAGAGTTAGTAGCAGACTTGTCTACGAGGATGGCTGTACTGACTTTATATGTCGGTGGGTCACCGCAACCCATTTTGTTTTCAGATATGCGTTCAATCACCTCTAAGGATGTGACTCTGATTGATGAATTCGAATGCATGGCTCATTCCTCAAAGAATGATCAACGCCGAGGGTTTTATTCATTATCCTAATCACGCACACCACCTCTACCATCTTTTATTAACGTTAACCAGTCAGTTATTTGAGTAGTCCATCTCATCTAACCAGGGTAAATCTGCTGTGGTGTGATGTAGTGGTAGGGGGTGACATGTCACGATAGTTCTTACGTTTTCTACTGCTGCGCCATATTGACCTTCCAATACCCCACTGGCACACACTCACGATTGTGTGGGGAGGAAGTGCTGGCATATGTGCAGATTCTATCTCGCACGTCGATTCCATCAAAAACCTGAAATCAAGTAGCTGCAAAGTGCGTGGGAAGTTGCGATTGAGGAACGCTCCCAATAAGTGGGGCCTACCTCTTCTCTCCTAGTGCTGGAATTTTAGCCAAATTCTTTATAGTCAGTACATCGAATGGGCTATCCACAGCTGTTCTCTCGCTAAAAACAATGAGAAGAGAGTTTCATACGAAGTTCAAAATGACCATTGTTTCCAAGGAATAAGCCGAAGACCTTTAGGGACAGTTTTTGTGAGCTATGAGGAGAAATGCAGACTTCATTCGTATCTGCCAGAGTCTTTCAATGATTAAAGGAATTACAAATTTAATACAAGTTCCGAAATAAAGCTAAAAGAAGAGAACTCGAGGTGCATGTCTAGTAATTGGATATTAAAAGTTTTAAGTCTTATACAGTCTGTATTAAGTCTTATACATGAAAAACCTACTGAGGAACCAAAAAGTACTGAAGGTTCGTGAATGCTAAGCGTCCAAATATGTGTAGAATATTTGGAACTTTGTCCTAAACTTTTCCAACTAAGGAAGAAAGGGATAAATTTTATTGAGAAGTTGTTTTTATGGCTCCTTCCCGAATTGAATGAAACAAGATTGTTATGAAAATTTTCATTCTTCAATTTATCGTAACGTTTTGACGTTTGCTATTCTCTTTCTACACCCCTTATTGCTTTAAAGTGGATTCTTACTTGGATACTTGGATGGTTGTGCAGGCGCCAGCACAATCTCCAGTTTTTTTCTTTTCTGGGAACTTGCCTGTTGAGCCACTGTGGTTC